TTCTAATTGACACATTGAATTTTCCATTAAGAGTTACATGTGATACAGATAGGAATCTCTGAAGCAAAAAAATAATTAAACCATCCATAAAATGTACACCTATTTGGGACAACAGAATTACATTCCAGTTCCTATGATCCTTCTTAGCCTGAGACACTTGAAAGTTATTCTCACAAGAAAGTTTGCCACCATAAGGTGAGTTAGAAGATTTTATTCTTTTTTGTGAAATATCAATAAAAATAGCATCATTATTGTACCTAATTGGTCTGCTTTGTGGTCAACAGAATGAGAAAATTTACCTGAACAAGCAAACCCTAAATGTCTTAATGATGGCTACCCTCTAGAATTTGAAGTACTATCAACAGTCAGCAGGCTCATGGATAGCTATAGACTCTGCCATTCATGATGGTTTTACCAATGCAATACTGGGAAGGAGTCATGCATCTTATGCTTACATGGTACAGTCAATCCCTTCTAAATCAATTTCTATTCATTCTATAGAGTTTCATAACCAATTTCTTATGACTGTCTGAAATTAAATTTAAATCTCTGATTATGTTTTCATAGAGTTTTATGAATTAGATTTCAGATCTAAGAACTCCAAATAAATCCTTTTCACATTCTATACTGATATGCATTTATTACAAAATAGTTAAGTCTAAGAATTTATTTGCAGCTGGTATATACTAAGTTATATTCATGACATAAATAATCTATTAAAATAGCACAGGCTAAAATATATCTGTTTAACTTTGGGGCTATTTCAGTGTTTACAGGATAATAAAACAATAATTCACCGATAAATGAAAATTATCACATGGCATGCTAAAAATCATTGTACTGTTATTGTGGTATGAAGGGGCAGGTAGTAAAGTATAAAGTGTTGCAACAAATTTAACTTCTAGCTCACGTCAGTCCATAATATGGGTTATGTATTTAATTCCTCCCCCTTTTTCTTAAGAGATATTTTTGCTAAAAGGCATGTGTGCTTTTCAGAGAGATACAGACAGAGAGACAGAAAGCAAGAAATCACGCCCCCCCCCGGGGGGGGGGACAGGAATGGCCATACCACAATCCCTTCTTTTCCATTCTCCTCTTGGGATCTTGGGCATGCATGCACATGCACCTGGTGTGAGTTTAAGTAGCTGGATCTAGGTCTCAAACTGCAGTCAACTATGTGAGAGTCCAACAATGTAACCATTATGTCATTTGCTGGTCCCTATTTAATTCTTTTTAATACATTTAATTCTTTTTGATATAGTGATTCCCCAAACTGTATGCACATTAAAAAAAAATCATTTGAGGTGCTTCAAAAACAAAAAACAGAATATGGGCTTCTTTCTTAAAGGCCTTTTCCTCATGGTTTTTGAGACTTCTTTTTTTAAAAAGCATTCTATAGAGGGATCAGAAATATATGTCAAAACATCCTCTTAATTCGTGTGTAAGAAAACATGATGGAAAGTCACTTTATAGGATAAGACATTTAGTGATTTGATTTTCTCTCTTTTTTTTCTAATTGGGACATTAGGAAATAATTCCTTTCACCCTCACAGGATATTGTGTGTGCAGTTGTTAACAGTGACTGCTCAAGTGACCACTTTTAGAGTCAATATCAACAACATAATCCCACGATTGTCATGGTGTGGGGCAATGTTTCCATCCCGGACTCCATTCTGAGAAAGGATCTTGCCACCAAAAACAGATTTTAGTCACTCTTTCTATTTCCAGAGGGGAAAGAGGCTGGTCCTGTAAAGAAAGAACAACTACCCCAACACAGTGATGAGGGTAAGATGGCAGAGAGCTGCAGCAGCATGCAGCCATGCCCGCAAGCGGCCAGCACTTTGCAGATAATATTTCTAAAGGCAAGCAATGCTGTTGTTAGAAGCCAACTAATAAATACACAGTATTAAAAACTATTCTGAGCAATTGCACAAGCAGTTATTTGCTAATTAATTTCATAGCAAGAAGAACACATCCCAGCACAGCTGGTGGTAGCCATGCCTGCAAGCGGCCAGCACTTTGCAGATATTTCTAAAGGCAAGCAACGCTGTTGTTAGAAGCCAACTAATAAATACACAGTATTAAAAACTATTCTGAGCAATTGCACAAGCAGTTATTTGCTAATTAATTTCATAGCAAGAAGAACACATCCCAGCACAGCTGGTGGTGGATAAAATAATAAGAAGCTCCTAAAGGAAGTTCTGGGCTGAAAAGTTCCCCTTAATAATACCTGTCAAAGTTTATAACCACTTCTACTGTGAGAAAGAAACTAGGAGTTGGCATCAATACATATTGTATAACTTTTAAAGGACACAGAATGTGTCTGTATCAAGTACTGTCTACTCTTCTCATAAAAATGAGTGAATCCTATAATTCTCAAAATCCTCTTTAATCTTTGTAAAAGCCCAAGTTAAGAGACTCATTTCAGTACTGCCACAACTACATTGGAAGAACTCTGACAATTATTTTGAGATTTTGGTGCCTAAAGGAGGCTGAGTGTAGCAACCAGCAACTCCAACAAAATTCCATATTAATTGAACTTTATGGCTGGGGGGTGGCTGTTACTCTCAGGCTTGGGTATAGATTTTGCTTCCCCCAACATCTCATCAATCCCTACATCAGTGCTGACTGGGCCTGCTTAAAGCCTTCTCTTAGCAGTAGAGGAACAGAGATGAAAGTAAAAGAGAGTAAGAGATAATAAAAGTAAAAGAGAGTAAGAGATATGATTTAAAGGAGAGATAGAAAAACACAAAAGAGCATAGACAAAGGGAGGAGAGGGAGTTTAAAAACTCTAAATATAGGAGCTAGGGTCAATGCTATCCTTCCAACCGATTATATTAGAATTCATTTTATATAACATGTTTAGCTAAAACTATCCTTTTGATTAAGTATGTATTTTAGCAAATAGACATTGCAAGGGCTCTTAAAGGGAGAAGTTACCAAGCTCAGTATTTATGTCTTCATTATTTTCTCCAGTAGAATGAATCCTATGATTTAGTCACATATTTGGAATGATAGGATGCAAAACCTGTACATTTCAAACTGGCAGTTTTGCCTGACATGAGTTTAGTTTTGATTGGTAAGCAAGCAGTCACATATTTTCAGTTTATATGTAGCTTGGCCTACAGTTTCCTTTAAGCACAGGTCTGATTTGTCAACTAGGGCTGTCTTTTCTGCTTTGTCTTGTTAATATTGAGCTCAGTAATATGTCATTCCCCATAGAGCTCTAACAGAATAGTAATGAAATAGTAGTAGAATAAGGAGAAATTTCTGGAAATATGACATTTGAAATATAATTTCATACTTAAGTGATTGGTGGTCTTTAAAACTGACTGAAAGGAGATAGGATTTCCCATCAGAAATCAGTAATTTCTTCACTACTCTTCAAAGTCTGAATATGAAACATCACTAAAATTGAAAAGGGAATCTCGCGTTATGATCCCCAATTGCTTGCACTCACCTAATTCAGCAGAAGAATTTAAAAAGGAGATTGATGCCCTCAAACCTTGCAAAAAGCATGAACTTACTTTGGGGAATAAAGCCGTATTTTACAAATTAAACTGAGACTGCAATAGAAGCACAGCTCATAAAAGTTCATCTTTTAAGTTTTGCACCAGAACACATGTATTCTAGTGTTTCTCATTTGCAGGATGCTAAACAGCAAGTCTATTTTCCAAAAGCCTAAAAACAAAGCAGACACCAGGCAGTGGGGATGGGGGAAGATGTACACATGTATCTTTGAAGCTAAAAGCAACATCACATGTGAAGAGGCTCCATTTTACAAGAAGCATTTGCAGCCTCAAAATTTGGAAATAAACAGGATACTTTGTCTCAAAATCTGACCTAGCTTTACATATATCCCATACACCTTCTCACAGTAAATATAAACATCAACTTTTTTTTTTTTTTTGAGAGGTTTTTGCTATGGGGGTGTGCGCTTGCCAGGAAGAGAGAAAGAGAGAGAGAGAGACAGAAATTGAGAAATCACCCCACAGGGGAGATGGCCATGCTGCAATCCCTTCTTCATTCTCCTCTCAGGATCTTGGGCATGCACACACATGCACCCAGTGTGAGTTTAAGCCACTGAATTCAGGACTTGAACTATGGTCGACTACATGGGAGTCCAGCAATGTAGCCATTAGACCATCTGCTGTTCCCACAAATATCAACTCTTAACAGAAATAGTCACACATTCTTGATTAGCAGTCATGGGATTTTCACTAAGGGGTTGGGGAAGGACTCCTTCATGATTCTCACTCTTGGCACCTTCTCCAGTCTTTAATCCCCAGTTGCTCATGTCTGTTTGTGAAAGAAAAGACTGTAACAAGCAGGACAAGGCAGGAGCACAGCTGATATTTTGCTCTGCCTGTTCAAACAAGCAAATGAGAATACATGGGAAGTGGAAAGGTCATTGGGTACAGGGAAAGGAAACCAGCCAGGTAAAGGATAAGATGCGTACTCTCACAAACCTCATAAAAGAATCTTTCTCCTTCCTTCTTCTGCTCATGGAAATGCAAGTCAAAGATGTTGGACAAAGACACGACACATTACAGACACAGCCCACAACACATTTTTGACAGAGCTTTTGTGAGGTAAAACACCAACCACTTGTACATCAAAGACCACTTGTGCCACAAAGCATATTTGAGTACAAACATCAATATCAAGCTGACATCGTACAATACAGTAAAAAAAAAAAAGAAAGAAACCTAACAGATCATTAGCATATATGCATATATTTAATTGTGTATATATGACTATGTATACACATGGTGAAAGGGTATTTCCTTTCTCCTATTCACGCTTTTAATATATTACCGAAGCATTCTGTTGTAGGCAATAATCACTTTAGTCCTTGATGGGATTTTAGATTATCAGCATTTCTTATTCATAGCTAAACTCCGTAGAAAGTTGACTATAATACTTTATATAGCAAAAATGAGAGGTGCTAATGATTCTAAGTAGGTATTTGGCAAATGCAGGAGTGAAAACATACCCACCTCTCTCCCTCCCATGGATTCAAACATTTTTTCCAGCTGGACCCGTAATTGTTGAATGTTGTTCATCAGGATACATGGCTTAAAGAAAGAAAGGAGTGTTGTGAGTATCCTTTACATACTGAATAACTGAATGAGTTCATAGAAAAGTGTTAGTATATAGCTGTTCACTGATAATATATTAACTTGGCAAATATAATAGTTCTGCTATTTCAAGATATGATTTTAACAGCTAGAAATCAAAAAGGAAAAAAAAAAAAACTAATGACCATTATGGGGGGATGACGTTTAATAACACAGAGACAATAAACTGTTAGAGACCTGCTACTCAAGTTCCTTTTATCCTTAATATTGTGACATTTCAAACTCAGAAATTAACTGTGGTCTATGTTTTAAGATTTATTTTAAGGAAACAGATTAGTTGGTATTCTTTTATTGTTTGACAAACCAAAACACTGAATTTTTAAATCCCCCCCCCCAAATTAAATCAGCAACGACAATAACAAATGCCTTTAATGAGTTCCCTGGCTACAGAGAAAGTCCCCATGCTGGTATTGAAGGCTCTTCATTCCCCGGCTCCAGTCATATTTTTCCTCTCATTTTCCTGTTTGCCTATTGAATCACAGCTATTATTCAAGTTCAAGTTTTTCCTTTCATGATTTGATCTTTTCGTCACTCATGTGGTATTTGTTTTATGTTACTTTTTATTTGAGTTGCTTTTCCTTGTCTCACCAGCCTACCTTAAATACATTATACATGCTACTGTGTCTCCCCCCATCCCCCTCCCGCTTCTTCTTACTCAGATTACTGCATAGTGATTAACATGCGTAAAAAATATTTCTCTACTTGTTTCCAAGAAGGCAGAAATGTAACAGTAACACAGATATAAAGCTTTTCCATAGTATTACATGTGACTTTAGAATAGTAAAAAAAAAATAAATAAATAAAAATAAATTAATTTATATTTGGAAAATATAATTTAGAATAGTTGTAGAATCATTAAATATTTGCTGCATATTGACTCCAAAAAGTAGATTAGGGGGAGAAACCAGGCAAAGCAAGAAAATAGTTATATCTTCCAAGTTGCTGGGAAATAAGGCAATAGCAAATCAGGGAGAATCATGCAAAAATCTCACACAGGGGGTCAGAGAGGTGATAGCTTTCATCACTGGAAAGATTTTATTATTGTTCACCCATACTTTAAAAAAACAAGTTTTGTTATAGGATGCATGTACTCACCAGAAAGAGAGGGAGAGGGAGAGGAAGAAAGGAAGAAAGAAAGGAAAAATGCCAGTTGTGTGTTCCCCAAATTCTAAGAGAATGGAGGGAAAAGGATTACAGGATGGCCATTCTTCCCTGGAATTCTCTCTCTCTTTCTCTCCCCCTCTTTCTTTCTTTCCTTCCTTCCTTCTTCCTCTTCTTTTAATTCTTATCTTTTTAGGTTTGTTTTTGTTCTGCCATAAAGCACATGTGCTCACCAGAGAGAGACAGAGAGGGGGAAAATGAGAAATCCCCTCCCTCCCCCCAGGGGGATAGCAATGTCACCATTGCTTCCTCCATTCTCCTCTCGGGATTTTGGGCATGCTCACACATGTGACAGGCATGGTTTTCAAGATGCTGGGTTTTCACCATGCCACCTGCTGGCCCCTATTGGACTCTTAAGACAACCACATCCTAACTTTTATTTATGAAAACAGTTTTATTATGTTGCCTTGATTATATGATTTTATGATATGACTATTATATGACCTATATTTTATTAAAACAGATATCTGTCCCCAGCATACTGAATCAGAATGATTCAAATAATTCTGTTCTCCAGCTGCGATTAAGCTACTTGATGAAGGGTTAGTCCCTTCTATAGCAGATATGGTTACATTTTCAGAGGATTCAACAAGTTCACAAACTGAACCAATAGACATTTTTTTTTCTGCTAGGAAGCACAATCACTGGGATTTTTTATTTTATTTTATTTTTTCATTGCAGAAGGGGAAGATACAGCTTAAACTAGGCAATCCTACCAGGGAGAAATCCAAGATTGAAGTAAGAACATAACTCATAATAAGCAGTTGGGCAATGACACAGGTGAAGGGTTTATCACCTTGTTCTCTGGGCCCAAGTTAACTTGGTAGACTATTTGATATTAGCATTTGGACTTATCTCTACTGACATATGTAACAAGACTCTAGAACTAGCTTTATCAATAAAGGCCGACCACCAAGCCTTCTTTGTATGATCAGGTGCAGCACAAGAACCATTAAGAAGAAAGTGAACATGGACAATGAGGCTCATTTGCAGGGCTTGCTGTCGGCCCCAAGTAAGACTCCGAGGAAGGGAGCAGTTTCCCAGGCAGAGACGGAAGGAATTAAATAAGAGACTCTCCTCCTTCTTTAAGCTTTCCCTGACTTTGAAATATGCAAAGTTCAATTTTATTGAATCAAGTTATCAAATCACTGTTGAGAACTAGATTACATAAATCTTCCTTCAATCTAATTTTGGAACAACTTTTTTATTTTATACAACTTCATAGTATATGAAAAAAAGTGCCCACAGTAAAAGAAACATTGATCTAATTCAGTTATTGCTTGTTGAAGAGTATAGTAAGATAACCTATACTTGTAGTCAAGTTTTATTTTTTTATTTGTATATTTTGACGTTTCTCCTAAAAAAATATCACAATGCATTGAGTTTTATCTCTACTTGGAACAAAGTAAGAAACCAGAAATACAAGGAATGAAAAAGCTAGGTTTGTTCCTATTTCTATAGGAATGAGGCATTTCTGAATTTAAAACAATTTTTAAAAGAAGTTATTTAAAAATAATTTTGATTTTGATAGTGATGCTTGCCTGTATTTTAGAAAAAGGAATAAAGTGTATAAAAATGTTTTGACCCATTTCTGATTTAAAATGTCACAGCAGAAAATAATTTTTAAACTTTTTTCTTTAATTTGATCCCCAAGAAATCAAATGTTATGGTCACATATGAAATGCTGTCCATCTTTAAAAGCTTTTAGCTCAATTTGCAGATGAAATGTGTAAATATATATATATATATATATACACACACACACACACCATATATATACTGAAAAATGTTCAATAAGTTTTGATAGTCTTGATATTAAAATAAATCTGTAACAGTAGTTACATGTAGTCAGGCAAATGTACAAAAAGACTTCTTTATTTTGTTTCAACTGAAAGTAAGTAGCTAATAGATATCCTTTTATAAAAGTAAAATATTTAAGTGGTAGAGTATAAGGCTGGTCAATATATCAATAATTAGGGGAGAAAAGCATTTAGAAAATGTTCAGGGAATTATTTTTATAATATTAAAAACTGCAAAGACCTTTTTTTAATAAAAAATTGTTTTCGAAAAGTATAAAACATATATAAAAATACACAGAATAATAAAAATACTGATTTATGATTTCATGAAAGCATTTTCAAATATGAAATCAAGTACGTTAATACATAAAATACAAGTCTACAGGGGCTTTTACAAGTTAGTTTTCCTTTCTGAATGACAGGAAGTAGCCTTAGTAGCACACAGTTACCTTCCAAAGTCCTGAATTTATCTCTCCTAATATAAACAGAATCTTTTTACAAGTGTCAGCACAGATTATATCCTCAATATAATACTTTAGAGATATATTATTATTTAATTAGAAATATATGGTTTTGTTTTGTTTTTGTTTTTGCTTTTTTGAGAGGTTTTTGCTATAGGGCGAGTGAGCTCACCAGAAAGACAGACAGAGAGACAGAAAACGAGAAATCACCCCTGCGGGGAGATGGCCATGCCGCAATCCCTTCTCCTCCATTTTCTTCTTGGGATCTTGGGCATGCATGGGCATGCGCCCTGCATGAGTTTAAACCACCAGGTCCAGGACTCGAACCACAGTCGGCTTCATGGGAGTCCAGCGACACAGCCATTATGCCAACTGCTGGTCCCAGAAATATATGTTTTCAACAAACAAATTATTTTGATTTTAGAATATTTATAACGAATGGCAATTACAAATCACTGCTGAGATGTCTGAAAGTTTTAATACAATTTCTGGGCAGAATATTAATTTAAAGGAAAGAACCATCTTCTGCAGTCCTTAAGAACCATTAGGATTGACTTATCTTAATGAGCTGTCAGCAAGAGGTCAAGGAGGTTTCAGTGAGAAGACTAGTAGCTTCCTTTAGAATTCTCTTTTAGACTTATGTGATAATGAGAACTGATTTTTTTTGAAGGGAAAAATCTGGTTTTCTTGTTAAACATTTCTGTAATCATTATTTCCCAGTGTGCCTCCTTTTTTTTTAAATCTATATTGTCAATATAGTTCTCCTAATATTACTGATGCTGAATAAGAAAGCTTTCACTCTCCACCTTAAAATAACAATTTTTATATTCCAGATAACTTTAATTTATCTGACTTCTCTTTCTGTCTCTTATTGGTTAAGTTGAATAACAATGTTGGTTTGTATTACTATCTCCTCCAAGGTCAAAAATAGATTAAATTAATAATTCAGAGTAGAAATCTGCATCATTCTACACTTTAGCTATCCTTCTCAATTTACTTGAAAACCTATACTAAAAGATTAAATATATTTGTTTTAGTATTGGGCCAAAAGGAAACTAGCTGGTACCAATTCTTATCTAGCCTTTAATGCCCAAGTTGTCCACTCATGTGATTTTTGAATATGCAAGTTTTCAAGTTTTGAGGCTAGTCTTGTTCCTCATCAACATGGAAAACCACATTGGCCAGGATTGAGACGTTCTCAATCTTCATGCGACCACTGTACTAAAACCGGTTCAAGGCTACTGGAGAAGTTTTCAAATAATTTCCAGAGACCCTTATTTCTTATCATCCTGTGTGAAAAGTCAGCAATTTGTCTTACACATAGTTTAAAGTAGTACATCTCAACTGAGAAATACTTAAAAGTAGAGCCAGTTTTACTCACCACATTTTCCTTATCACAGTATGAACTGAAGTCATTTGATACAATTGCAGCATACTGTAGTAGCACTTTGTTGATAGTCTAAGAAAGGAAACATTGTGACATTTATCTAGGGAAGTACACAGTTTTATGTATGTGCTATCCAGGTTACTGCTAAATCAGGCCAATTGCACGTTTTTTTCTGCTGATTTAAGTGGAGATTACAGTAACATACTTGACCAAAGAAGGATCTCAAACTGTTACATGTAGATGACATTTTGTCCCTGTTCTGGATGCATTTGGGAGATATTTCACATGGATCCATTCAGTTTAAACAATCTGCTCCACCATAAAATTCTTTATTTTCTAATGTTGCTCAGAAGAAAAACTGACCATCTTGTGGCAACCTTCTCTATACTTACTTACAATTGAATGATTTTCTTTTTTTTTTGAGAGAGATTTTTGCTATAGGGCATGTGTGCTTGCCAGACAGACAGAGAGACAGAGAGACAGAAAGCAAGAAATTAACCCCCAGGGAGGATAGGCATGCCACAATCCCTTCTCTTCCATTCTCCTCTCAGGATTTTGGATATGCACGCACACATGCCTGGTATGAGGTTGTTAAGCCGATGGGTCTGGGACTTGAACTGCAGTTGACTACGTGGGAATCCAGCAAGGTAACCATCATGCCATGTGTTGGTCCCTGACTGAATAACTCCTAATGTTCTTTTTCTCCCCCCTCAATACATACCTTATGCTTTAAGTCATCCTCATAGTTTCTAATTCCTAGCCTCCTTTCCTTGCCCACACACTCCTACCATGCTACAATTCTTTGCAGTAGTCCTTTTATCAGCTTTCTATTCCTAAATACTTGTTCATAAGGGAACAGAGCATACCTCATACATCCCTTAGCTATGAATATTTCCAGTAATTTTCTGCGATATGAGTTTTACTGACTACTATTATGACTACTTCTTAAAACCTAAAACGTCAGCACTTGTTCTGTCACACTTGTCTCTTTACCTCAATACATTCACCTTTGGTTCACTAAGTTATTTAATAACACAGTATTTGCTAAGGATATTGTCTAATCATTCCCTTCACGCTGTCTTTTATATCAATTCTTTTATATCAATTTCCTTTCTCTCTCTAATAACGTTTTCTGAGCCTCAGGGGGCCCTCTATTTTCATTAATTATTCAAAATGGAGACAAATAGAATGTGTTAAATAAATTTTATATCAATTATTTGAAGATTATCAGTAAGTTTACATCCTACTGCTTTCGCATAAAACTTGAAGTATCGTATGCCCAAGGTGGATGTGATCTTCTGAGAAGACATAAAGCTATAGGAACAGTAGAAGTACATCTCTTTTCATAGAAAAGCACAGACAAAAAGCCTTTTACTTTTACTTTTTTTTTTTTTTTTTGTAGATACAGTTGACTGAATTGTCTAGTGGCTCAAAATCAACTGAAGGAGCTACTCTAAGGAATTATGCTGAAGGAGACATTTCGTCTCTAAACCTGAATGGACCAAATGTGACCACAAGCTTGCTTTATAGACTTTTTAAATGACAATGAAAACATGAAATTAGGGATAACATGCAGATAGAACATTGGTATTTTGTAGAAGTATAGAGTAGTGCATCAATTTAAGCAGAAGATTGGCCCTTACTACAAAATCTTATTAAGCAACAGACAAATCCAGAAACACAGATGGCTGATCGGACTGAAGTATCATTTAAAAGTGGCTCCTCAAATTTTACCTTAGACATAATGCTGAATTGCTTTTGGCTCACCTAAGAAGCACTACTGAATCACTGGTACATTTGCACACACACTGCTTTCACTTTGGGTTCTCAGTGAGACTGTGAACTACGAGAATCACTGCACTATGTTCCCAAAACAAACACGCACAAGCCATAATCTTGACTAGGTGCCTGTTGCAATTCCCACATTATTACTTGCTCAAGATAAAGTTTGGACTGCATGAAAATTCTCTACAACTCAATGCTATTTAGACATCTCCCAGGTGACTTGCAGAACTGCCTGTCTTTTTCCTTTATCTGTCTATACTTCATAGGAAAACCCTAAGCCTTGAATTTCTGCTTGGAGACAAATGATCCTCAGCTCTCACACTCACCAGCCTCCAAATGTCAATGGTTAGCAAGTCAGGATGGGCTGTAAGGAAAAGTGCAGTCATGTAGGACAGTCATAGGGTTGCAGGTATATTACTTTAATAACCTGTTTCTTTACTACTATATAAAAATATACAATGACTGAGAATGTGCAATCCATATTTAGGAGCAACTTCAATTTTATTCTAATTTATTCAACTAAGTGCCTCACTACCAGACATTACTTTTTAATACTAATAAGCAGTTACTTATGTCTTCTCACCCATTGGTTTTCAGAGTGTAGTTTTAGGATTGCAACATCATAAGCATCACCTGGAAACTTGTTGGAAATGCAAATTCTTTTGTCCTAACCCAAGATTTACAGAGTCACAAAGGGAGACAGGCCCAAGCAATCTAGTTTAATAAATCTCCAGGTGATTCCTATACGTGCTAATCTTCGAGAGGCACTGCCCTAACCCATGCAGGGTGGAGGTCACTCCTCATAGAGAACTTCCTGGTGGGAAGGGCAGCTACAAAGCCTGGAAGATGGGTCTTCTGGGTAGGGGAGCTTGGGTCATGATATTATCCTTTGGGGGACTGCTAGGCTTTTGAAGTGAGGACAGTGCAGAGAGAGAAGCAGCAGACAGCCCAGCAGGACAGTTTGCATCAATTTATATGAAGCAATAGTCCAGAAGAGTAAAGGGTTCCATAGGTGCAGCGAAGGTACTGCTACTCAAAGAGCTCCAGGTTAAAAACTAACTCTGGTGACTAAAATATCCCGGTCTTCATCAATTCTGATTTGACAAGTGGAGCATATGGGAGAGCTGCAAATCACACAGACATAAGCTTTGTGGTTCCCAAGCTAATGCTTTCCCAGCAGGAGTGGGCCAGATATCCTCTTAACACTTCCAGTGGTTCCATCCCGTGCACTGTTTTGGTTCTAACTCCATCTTTTCATTCACATTTTAGAAATGAAACAATACAGTATTAGAGCAAAACAAGGATAACATGAGCATCACTTTGGATTAGCATCATAAAAAATGTGACTTCAAGGTCCAACAGGTGGCATGGAGGTTAAGGGAGGTAGATCTCAAATGACCAACTTCACAGTTGGAGTCCTGGACTCAGCAGCTTGGAAAACACACCAGGCACATGTGAATGTGTGCCCCCAAATCCCAAGAGAATGGAGAAGGGATTATCATAGGGCCATCTCCCCTGGGGGATGATTTCTCTCTCTCTCTCTCTCTGGTGAGAACAAGTGCTTTCTCTCTCTCTCTCTCTCTCCGGTGAGAACAAGTGCTTTACAGAAATAAAAGGAAATGTGACTTCAGTGATTTCTAAATGAAATATGGAGTTCTTCATTTCTTCTACCACAGATGCCTAGGTTTGACCTTAAGGGTAAAAATACTGGGTTGTTGGAAAAGTCATGACATATTTTTGCATAGAACAACATAGAAAAATATATCATGGCTTTTCCAATGACCCAATAAATGGTGAAACTTTGTTCTCCAACTTGCCAACTGGTTTTTGGTCATATCAGAATGAGAAAGGAATAGCTTAGTGGTTAAAAGCATTCTATCCATACCATTTCCAATTGACTGCCTTTTTTCAACTCCACACTTTTTGAAAAATTATACATACATTTGAAAAATTAGGGAAAATAATAATACACATCTCATGGAGTTGTAAGCAATCACACACACACACATACACACACACACACATAGAAGAGAGATTAGTCAATAATAATGCTCAATGGTCATAATTTTTTTAAAGAAATTATTTTAGTATTTTTGCTATAGGGTGCATGCTTGCTGGAGAGAGAGAGACATATAGAGGGAAAATGAGAAACTATCCCCCAGGAGGATGGCAATCATACCACAATCCCTTCTCCATTCTCCTGAGATTTTGTGCACACACCACTTGCACTGGCGTGATTTTCAAGCCGCCAGGTCCAGGGCTTGAACCATGGTCTATCATGTGAGAATCCAACACCTTAGCCACCACACCACTTGCTGGACCCCCCCTTTTTTTTTAATTAGCATTAGGTTCCATGATAACAAGGGATAGGATATGTGTGTTTCATTTGCCAGAGTATCGCCAGTACCTGGCAAACAGCCAGACTCATGTTCAGGACCTCAGTGATATAACTTGTTCGTGTATTTTTAAGCAATATTAAATATATTGTTACTTCAGATCTCTTTTTAAAATTAAATCACCCACATTTGTCCAGAGGAGCAGTCTGGTCATAGGAATATTAACTAGTTATGTACTCATTTTATTAGTCATCACAGGTCTTGAATATTTTTGATATAAAATTTGAAGCATTTTGTTTTGTACCTTATTCAGTCTTGTATACTCTAGTAAGAGCAAGTCATCTCCTCCCCTTTTTAAAAATTTGTATAGGGTGCATGTTCTCACTGGAGAGGGATGAGGTGCAGGGAAAGTCAAAGAGCATTTTTGCTGGGGAGATGGCCATGCCACAATCCCTTCTCTACTATGATCCTTTCAGGATTTGGGGCACACATACACATGCACCCAGTGTATTTTTAAGCCACCAGTTCTGGAACTCTAAGCATGCAGTTGGCCAGGTGGGATCCAGCTGCTTTAATTAACATGCCACTGGCTGGTCCCAAATCATCTGTTTAAGTCTAATTGTAAAATGCTAAATCTTCTAAAATATCTGCAGATATTAATGCCATCTGCAGGAAATAGTTTAAATCAATGTTTGCCCCAAAAAGTGAATGTGATTTCATTATATTTTGATATAAGGATCCTAATCCTAAGAACGGTAGGGTTTTCTTTTTCTTTTTTTCTTTCTTTTTTTTTTTTTTTTGCTATAGGGCGCGTGCACTCGCCAGACAGGAAATCACCCCCCAGGGGGAATGGCCAGGCCACAATCCCTTCTCCTCCATTCTCCTCTCGGGATCTTGGGCATGCGCGCACATGCACCCGGCGTGAGTTTTAAGCCCCTGGGTCCGGGATGC